TCTGGTGTGATTTTGACTCCCTGGTTGCTGCCTTGCGGGCTATTGCCTTCCTGAAGATGCAAAGAATATTCAGTTACTTATTTATACTGAACCGCTTCTAGCATCCATACTTCATCTATTCATTTTCTTGAATCAAGCCTGCCATACACAAAAAACCATTGCTAAAACCAACAGGAGTCTTGACTCATTTATCTGAGCCTTACATCAGCTGCTACAAGAAGTCGGAGAACTGCATCTGCTACTTTTGGCTTTGACTAACGTGCACCGCGCCTATTCGTCTTCTTTCTATAAACTCAAAGACAGCAGAGATTAAAAAAAAAATTTATAGGACATGTTTGCCTCTTGCTGAAACACTTAGGAATCGTCAGCAAGACTCAAAATATCACAGCTCTGTCAGCACACGTCTGGTCACATGAAGGTGGAATGCTCAGTGAAAGTAGAAGGAATCTTTGTTAGCTTCATTTTGTAAGGAACAAACCGACATTGATACATATTTATTTGTTGTGCAAAAGGTAACCCAACCGCTTCTCAGGATGCTTTTGCAGAAGTTATCAAAAAAATTAGTTCTTTACCTATTTTTAAACATACTAGTTTCAAGACTACCCTGAAGTATGAAGCGGGCCTCCTATATGACTAATTTTTCAGACCACAAGAGCAAGAAATATCATTAAACTGCTCTACCACTGGCCTGACTTGCAATAAAATAAAGATAATTTTATTTAGGAAACCTCAACCATTGCAGCTAATTCCTGAAATGCAGAGACAATTTTTATACAAGACGGCCAGAGAGTAGCTTGACAAAACTAAAAATAAATTTCTATAACCCCCATGAAAGAGACGACAAAGTATTTTTTATACACTGTGAAGCAGTACTTGCTATTTGGCTTTTGGTTGTGGGTCTTTTTTTTTTTTTTTTTTCTTATTTAAATACAGCGTGGACCAAGTAAAGGTTACTCACCAACTTCTTGTCCATTTTTGCTTTGATGTCTCTTGCAAGAGTGAAAAATGCCTGCAACAAGTAAACCACTTAAGTGTTAATATATTCTAACATTTTTGTTTAGCGATAAGCTGCCTTCCCAAGTTTCTACATACACTAAACTCCTGAAGAACAGCAAGTTTTCAGGTTCCCCCCACCCCCCTCCAGGTTTTCATGCTCCTTTTCTAACCCCATTACCCCATTTCTGAGCGTGAAAACCACCACGGCACAACCTGGGCTTACGTAGAGGGAAAACGCCACCCTTTGTCAATCACATTATTGAATGCAAAGGCCTAAGCCCAGTTTTTCAGTGTGCCGCCCTGCCGCCGTTTGCTCTTAACACCCTTGTGCTACGCTCTAAGCACCCACTTCAATTTAAATAAATCGGCATAACGTTGGCTAGACAACGCCTTCATGGAATGCACGGGTATGTACTTAATAACCCATCCGCAGTATCTAACAACGGAGTTTTGCACCCAGCCAGGACGGGTGAGTGTTCTTATTGCTTGTTTGCATAAATAAGTCAATACATATAAGAGAATGGTTATAGTACTTACGTTCTCTATGTTTATATTTGCTTTTGCGCTGGTCTCCATGAATTTAATTCCAAAACTTGCAGCAAGCTGAACAAAAGCAGGTTTCGTGTTAGTTGGATAATTACAGGAACAGCTCTAAATATAACCAACTGCGCAGGATCTGCCCCTTCTGGCGTGATTCATAGCAACTTGGGGATTTACTCAAGCAGAAGAATTTGCACAAATCAGGAACTAAATCTCGTTCCTATTAGTATCTCTTCTTGCTGGGCTTTTTTCTGCTGTTTCACACTCTGCACACATCTTCATCTGCTCCTTTGTCTTTTATTTTATTTCTTGCATGGGTATCCGGTCAGTCTCGTAACATCTGCAGCGCGTAGAAGCACCTTCCCTGACTAAGTAACATCCGACGCCAGAAAAGACAATCCTGTCTACCTTGTCTCAGTGGCTTTCAGTCAAAGAGAGATGTTTCCTAAATGTCAAACTCTAGCATGCTTTTTCTTCCTTTTCCTAAGAAAAAAAATCCACCTCGTTGCTTCGCACCTAATACATCCTGACCAGCTAATCGACAAGAATTCTTAACAGCGACTCATCTTTTAATCAGAGTGGGGAAATGTCCTGCAACTACACCTTGGGAAATGTTCAATAGTTCCGCTTAGGAACACCACCGAGGTACCAAGGAGGCGTACAGACCGTAACGAATGCAGGTTTTACGCTCCGAAAAGTCTAAGCTGAAATATGTTAAAGCTACGGCACTTACCTTCTCCCCTTGCTCTCTAGAAACTTGTCTTTTGTCATTTGCATCACATTTGTTCCCAAGGATCATTTTTTCAACATCTGGAGAGGCGTGCTGAGATAGAAACAGATCAAAGAAAGGACTTTGGCTTGGGTCTTTTTAGACAAATATTGTCAAAAAGATGAAGCGCACATCAAGGACTTCACATGGAGTGCCAAGCATCTTCCGCAGATTTACGGGCTCCCCCAAGCCCCTCATCCCAGCAGCCCGGCGCGTGTCCTGCGTAACGACAGCTCTCGGATCACTTGTTGTGGCAGGAAAACATCAACTTTTCGGTCCCCTCATGGCTGGAAGGGCTACAGTCCCCCCGGCTGGCTCTCGTGTCCCAGCACAACGGGCTACTGTTAACCAAGGCGTTCCAGAAGGTATTCCTGGTTTTCATTCAATTTATTTTCCAGGCACCCTTCAGCACATGAATCCAAAAGAAAGGTAATGCTTCTGAAGCAATTAATTTTCAACTACTTTTGGAGGAAGAAATTGCATCTTTTATTATTCAATAAGTAAATAGAGAAATTACCTCTTCAATATTCCTGACCCAGTTCCGAATGTTTTCAAAAGATTTTTCATTGGTGATGTCATAGACTAACATAATGCCCTAAAGATTAAGAAGGAGACAATTTCAGCTAGCGTCAGTTTAAGCAAGAGTTAAAGACTTGACCACAGCAGAAAGGAGCAACTTATCAAAGACTATTTTTAAACCAGTTGGTTCACACTTCCACACAACACTGAATCGCAGTTTGTGCCTGGCTAGATAAGGTGTGCGGGACGCGTATTTTAGAGCGAGTCACGGAGGGAAGCTGCCCCTACGAGCTCCCACGTCGCTCCAGCACAGTCCCAGCACCGCCTGAAACAGGAGCGCCGCTGTAAACATTTAGCTGGGCAGAGTTTACGTGCCAGAAGACATCGGCAGTCGCGTGCATTCCGCATTAAACCCAGCCGATCTGTGACAGCTGGATCGCCCGCGTTAGGTTTAGCATCACCCGCACGGCTCCTACCATTGCTCCCCTGTAGTAGGCGGTTGTGATGGTCCGAAATCGCTCCTGCCCGGCAGTGTCCCTGGAACAGAGAGAACGCGGGGGCTCACGCAAACCACCGACGGCAACACGCTCAAGTCAGAGCCACCGCAAGGTTTAATGAATTTGAAGCAGTCTTTAGGTGCGCTAGAACTATCTTTTAGTTTCTAAGACATTGTAAACCGCTGAAGGGCACAACTAGGGTAAAGACTTCACAATAACATCACCGCCCCGCACCATGTGGACACCCGGCCACTGGACGTTAACTTCAGAGAAAAGTCTTACCATATCTGTAGTTTAATTCTCTTGCCATCTAGCTCTATAGTTCTAATTTTAAAATCAATACCTGAAAAGAGAAGCAACTAAATTACTCTCGGTTCCTGCCGAAAGCCCAAATTCTCATTTCTTCCCTCCCCCCTCATTTCGCCGCTCGCATTTTCAGGCTCAGGACGAGCGCCAGCAGAGCGTCCTCCCCTTCAGCGAACCAAAAGAGCCGCCCGGTTCGCAAAGGCGGCTCACGTCCCGCCGCGCAGCCGAGAGAGCGGCCGGAGCCGAGACCGAGCTCCAGCCCCGAGCCCCGCAGGACAGGACAGCCCAGCCGGGCCGAGCCCAGGCGGCGGCAGGGCCGGGCCGAGGCGGCGGCAGGGCCGGGCTGCCGCCCCCCCACCCCGAGCCTCGGAGCCACCGGCGCCGGCAGCGAACCCGCCCCGCTCCGCTCCCTCGGCCCGGGCCGGCCGCCATCCCGCTCCTCCGGGCGGAACGAGCCGTTTCCAGGCCCCGAACCGGAGCCGCCGGGCGGGACCACCGGCCGGTGCCGCCGCCCCCGTGCCCTCACCGATGGTGGAGATGAAGGTGGCGTTGAAGGCGTCCTCGGAGAAGCGGAAGAGCGCGCACGTCTTCCCCACGCCCGAGTCGCCGATGAGCAGCAGCTTGAAGAGATAGTCGTACGTCTTCGCCATGTTCGCGGGCGCCGCCCCTCCCCGCCGCGCCCGCCCCCCGCGCCGCCTCACCGGCCGCGCCCGCCGCCCATCACCGCCCGCCGCGCGCTTATTGGCCGAGCCCGGC